CCACACCCACACCTTCAATTTCTCAATGGGGCCGATTATGAATTTTCATTATTTCGTTCTTCTGAGTTTTTACAACTGCATTTTGCATAATACAACATTCATTTTTATATAAGATATGGGTGAATCCGTGGGGTGTCTACCACTTTTGTGGAAAAAATTCTTTTTTTCGCTTTTAATAGTCTAGTTAGATGTATCATAGTCGAAAACTATCTAAGGCAACAATTAAAACCTTTTTGGACACATAAAGTGTGGAGAACCAAATCATTTTTTAGGAACACTTCATGCACATAAAGGTTATTCTATAATAAATTGTTAATCATATTTTTCTTACTTTTTGTTGACATAGATAGCTGAAATTTTTATCACATGTCTATCTAATCAAGATCTTTTATTTTTGAAATTTTCAGCTCTCTAGCCACAACTAATAGTGAAATACATCGACAAGACTGAAATACATGAAGTTTTGTACTTGATTTTTGCATGTTTTTACTGTTAAATTATTGGAAAAATCGAGCGCAAACTTGATGTATTTCACCATTAGTTTTAGCTAGAGAGCTGAAAATTTCAGAAATAGAAGATCTTGTTTAGATTTACATTTGATAAAAATTTTACCTCTCTATGTCAACAAAAAGTATGAAAAATATGATGAACAGTTTATCATCAGTTATTATGGGTTTACCTTTATCGGTGTGGAGTGTTCCTAAAAAATGCTTCGGTTCTCCACACTTTATATGTCCAGAAAGGTTTTAATTGTTGCCTCAGACCGTTTTCGACTATGATACATCTAACTAGACTATTAAAAGTGAAAAGAAACCTTTCTTTCAAAACATTGGCACAGAATACCCTTCTTCCACAAAGTGGTAGAAACCCCAAGGATTTACCCATATCCGTTTCAAGATATGACTTTCTTTCGATAAGCTTACCAATAGAATGGCTACCTTCATCGTCATTCAATATGCCAGTTAATGCACTCGAATTTTTGAGTGCTAGCGATTTTTCAAGGCATTGAACGCTTTTGTCATAGTCACCAGTATGTGATGCGATTTTACCAAGATCTTTGTACAAATCACCAAGTAAAGGATCATTTGGTGGAAGTTCTTTTAATAAACGTGTAAAGTATTTTTCAGCTAAATCAAATTTGCCCATTTCCGATAACACTCTTCCTAATGTTCGAAGATTTGTTTCTCCATTTCCAAGTTGTTGTTTCATATACATGAGAACATTTTTTAAATCATGCTCTTTCTCACTACACTAAGTCATTCGAATGATCCATACTTGATTATTATTGCTGTAATAGATGTTATCCAAACGAAAAATAGAGCCAAGCATAAAGAGTATTTCTGATTCGCCAGGAAATTCACTGTCTGCACTGATATCAGCAAATGGTTTTGTAGTTGTCACCTTAGGATCAGCAACGATTTCAAATAATACTGATTTTAAATTGTTTGTATTATCAGAAGCATTGACAAATGAAAGAGCATTTTTGTCATTAGCGCTGGTGGAAAAAAACGACTTCACTGAAATAAACTGACCATGGCATTGTTTTAAAGTTTCCAATTCATCGCTTGATATCCTTTGTCTCGATAAACTCGTACAGGATTCTTAGCTTGATGATATTTCAATTGACGTTGAATATCAGAGATAAATCCACAGAATAAAAAAGTCATATGAATATTTTCGGTACGTAGAACTGCATTAAGAGTTTTGTAAAAGAACGATTCTCGTGTATACCACTGTAAGACTTTATCAGGCGAATAATCGTTTTGAAATTCACGAAGATTGCTCAACTCAACACTATTACCTTCATATAGCTGTTTACAATGATCAATAAGTTCTTTTGTATCTGTTTGATTGGATTTTAGTCGTAGAAGACAATCAATGAGAACTTGAGAAAAAACAAATTGACCATTTATACCCATTGTTGATTTACCGGCATCAGTACTTGTCGTGAAGATATTAATTGATAATGGTTCTTCCACCATTTTCTGAATTTTATGATCAGCTTTAATTTGAACGACAAGTTCATCAAGTTCAACAACAACAGCTTTTATCTATCAACAAAATATTATAAAATGAAATCGAAATCATTCAGTCGAATTTTACTTTTGCAAATTTGTCAGCCCATTTTTTGTTACTTTCCTTATCCGTGCAGTAAACATAGATTGATATAACTTGTCGAAGCTCGTAAATAGAGGGAACTATTTCTCGTCCCAATCGACCACTAACAATCATGACTACTCGTTCATTTTGTGATCGTTCTTCGATATATTTTTGACATTGTTTTACATCTTGAAACTTCTTCAGCCGATTAATAACAGCACGTAATTTTTGTTCTGTATCTCGATTATCTTTGGTGTTGATATTGGTTCACCGACGTCTCCGCGCACGACATTTCCGCGCCGACGTTTCCGCGCCGACTTTTCCGCGCACGACACTTCCGCGCAGCAACACTACCGCGCGCGACACTTCCGCGCAAATGAAGTTTTTCTCGTCTGTTTATGTTGGGTTAATGCTGGAGGAATCACCTGGAACGCTAGAGAGATCACCTATGATATCGGTGGGATCACCTGAGATGCTAGAAGGATCACCTGGATTGCTAAAGGAATTATCTGGGATGCTAGAGCGATCGTCTATGATACTGGAGGGATCATCTGAGATGCTAGAGACATCGCCTGGGATGCCAGAGGGATCACTTGAACTGCTGGTAAGCTCATCGGGAACACTACAGGAACCACCTAGGATGCTGGAAGGATCATCTGGAATGCTGCATACATCGCCCGAGATACTAGAGGCATTGCTCTGGATAGTAGAATCATCGCCCGAGATACTAGACGCATCGCCTGGGATTCTAGACGGATCGCCTGAGTTGCTGGAGGAGTCATCTGGGATTCTACAAGCGTCACCAATAGATGCGTTTAGTATCATAGGAGATGCATATAGCATCTCAGGCAATTCTCTAGCATTTCAGGTGATCCACTAGCAACTCAGGCGATCCCTCTAGCATCTCAGGTGATTCCACTAGCATCCCAGGCGACCCTTCCAGTATCATAGATGATCCCTGTAGCATCATAGGTGATTTCCGTAACATCCCAGATAATTCCTATACCAATCCAGGTGATTCCTCTAGCCTTAGCTGAACATAAACAGAAGAGAAAAAATTCATTTGCGCGGAAGTGTCGCGCGCGGTAGTGTTGCTGCGCGGAAGTGTCGTGCGCGGAAGTGTCGTGCGCGGAAATGTCGGCGCGGAAGTGTCGGCGCGGAAATGTCGTGCGCGGAAACATCGTGCCACGGAAATTTCGTATGCCTAGGAAATTCCGTAACGCGGTATTTGTAGAAAACGTATGTGAATATTGAATGAAACCGCAACTAAAATGGGTATTTTGTGTAGAGCTTGTTGAGCTCTATCTGAAAATACTACTTTTGTTACGAGCATTAGCAACATAAGCGCGCAAAATACGCTAAGAGCGAGTTTCGTTACGGAATTTCGTCAAGAAAAGCGATGGTTTTTGAACTCATTATCTTCATTCGTAGACATCTATCAACTGACTGAAGGGTCATGTCTTTAAAGAGTACTTTGTATCTCATTGATTAATAAATAATCGAAGAACTTTTTCTTTTGCACATAGTTCCTTGCTTGACGAAGTATTCCACTACCCTCTATTGCCCAAATTTTCGAGTTACTCATTCAAAGGAAGCCCTTACTCATCCAGTGCACTCAATGAGACTTAGGAATAAAAATGCCCACATTTCAAGTACTATCGACCATTCTCTTTTAGATGGTAGACTCAGCTTTCTTCATGTTTGATTTCGAACCTCCCCCATGCATGGGTGACCGATGCGTGGCCATGCCGATAAGGAAACAGTTTTTTCGAATACAATCAGGTTTTCAGTCGCAATAGATATCTTTGAATCGATTTCAAGTACAATGAAAATGAATCTCTAATTCAAATATATATATCTATGTCATGCAACTTTGTTTTTGATATTTAGGAATTCCACCAAAAGATTATATTAATTTTTTTGGTATGCGTAATCATGATATTCTAATGGGCAATCTAGTAAGTTAAATATTTTATCATTGATACAATTCAGAAATTCGTTGTCTTGCTTCAGGGTAATCGAAATAATATATGTTCATTCAAAATTAATGATCGTTCATTAGCTGGTAATCATGATAATGGATTTTGTATTGTAATAAATGATCTGGAAGAAGAAAATGGTCGGTTTAATGAAGAGTCAGTTCTTGTAGGAAAATTTTGTTCTAGCTGGCGTAAAAAGATCTTTGAGTATGTTTCATATCTAAAATTACCATGATTTTCATAAAAAGCTATGTGACCTTTTAGGATACTGTTAGGTATTCAATTCGACAATCCAAATAACATTGAAGTAACTGATCGAGTATCAGATGAATTTTATTCTTATTTTCAAGATGTAGCAAAACAAAATACGTTGATTTATGAAGAAGTTTTTGCTACAATCAAAATATATTTGCGAATGTATATATTTTATAGATATTTTGAATAATGTTTTTATTTCGTTTTCGAGGCTCAACAAACATTGAAAGGTATTCAAGAATTTGTTATCGAATATCTAATTTATTTTCTTGATAAAGAAAATTATTTACCTAGCATGGTAACTCGTGAAAGTAAAAATTTTCCGTTTCATTGTGGATGATAAGTTTGGACAATTATCATAGCATGAATATCATAGCTTCTTTTTATACTGAGAGAGAGAGAGAAAAGAATGTTTTTCTTCTAATCAATGACTAATACATTCATGTTTTATCATGAAAAACAATAGCAAGTGACATTTTCAATAATTTTCTGATCAGATCAATCAGCCTTTGGATTATTTGTTATTTCATTTCTTTTTCCGTTTAGGCATAGCTCCACTTACAATATGGACTTAAAATATTTATTTTTGTGAGGAAGACTTTACAAATTAACAAGAAAATAAGTATTCGAACAATATGTTAGCTTAATCAACAATTATTTATTTTATTTATATTATCGGTTGAGTCGATACTCTTTGTGCAATCATTCATTTTGTATTCTGTATTTTGGTGTTCTAAGCGTTTTTATCTTTTTTTCTCCGTTCGATATCTTCCATCTATTTATTTACCTAATCAAATATTTTCATTTTACATATATAGGGTGTGGATGTGTGGGGTAGAATATCATTAATAGTTTTAGTCTCACACTCACATAAAAAAATTAATATTTTTTGGAAAAAAAGTATAAACTAAATTGTGCAAATGTAAGATTAATGAACAAATTTTTACTCAAATGAACTCCTCCTAAGGCCGGTTTTTTCTTTCTGATTGACAAGGGAATTATTCAATCGAACTAACTTCTTTAAACAGTATATTAATGATTAGTTATACAATGGGATAAACTATATAGATAAATAGATTTGAATACAAATACTCTTTCGATTAGATTATAATATTATTTTTTTTTATTTTAAATCGAGTTCTCTTCATTTTAATTATATACGAAAGTATTCGATTAAAATAATTATTTTATTTTTCAAAGTTGACGTTTCAAAAACAAACAAATAAATAGTCAATGTTTTTTTTTCACCTAAAATATTTAAAAAAAGACTCATTTATTCTAACTGAATATTTGACTATTTTATTTCAAATCGAATAGTATCCGCTTGAATCCTTCTGTCCATATTCTTTCATATCTTATGAAATATGAATTCGTGAAGATTTATTCGAATGTTTTTAGTTCTAATAAATGATTTCAAAATTGATAAATCATTTATTCACATCGGAATTATTTTAGTTTATATTCATAGAATTTAACTGATATAGAACGATCGATTGAAATATTTTAAGATAAATTTAATTAGTTAATCTATTTTAATGAAAAGAATGGGAAATTCTTTTTAAAAAAATCTTCGAAAATATATTAAACGATTATCTTAACAATAAAGTTGTTTTATTCAATATAAATAGACGAATATTGTTTATTGTCTTATCAATAATAACATTCGATAGTTTAATTACGATTAAGAACAATTTATTAAAGGATAATTTTTGTTCAAGTTAATCGTTAATCGAATCAACTTTTTTAAATATATATTTAGTAGGAGAGAATCGAAAGATTTTCTCTACGGCTTGTCCAAACGTAACGCTGTGGCATAGTTTTTGTCGACCAATTTTGAGGTACTTAACGTGCTCAGACTGATTTCATTTTTAATATTGTTCGTCTTTTCTGTATAACTAATCGTTCTACGCAAGAATGAGATCGATATATCGACATGGAAGAAGCTCACAAGAGCCGCAATAAGTTAGAAAATGTATAAGAGTCTAAAAATTTTCCTTAGCCACGAAAGTCAAAACTAAATAGGTCAACTTGTAGAGAATGAAATTCTGCATCGAATTGTATGTCTCTCGATTTTTTTGGAAAAATTTCTTGGTTATAAAACTCCAAATACAATTTTTGAAAAGTTTAAAACCCGGTTTTCAATGTCAAAATCTAATTTTTGTACAAAATGAATGTCAAATTCGTAATCAGTGTTCAAAGCTGCATCTAGTTACTTATTCAGATCTATCCAACTCGAAAAAAAATTTTTTCGAAACTTGATCAGCGAAGTGTCGCGTTACGTGGACAAGCCGTCTAATAGTTAACAATCATGATAATTAATGTAGTTATTCTATAATTACATTAAGATATTTTCAAAGAGTAAGAAGATATTTGAAACTTTCCATAGAAAATGAAACAATCAAATACGTTCTAGATTTTTATATATTTGTTAATAGGCTAAAGAAAAACGTTTAATTGGTAAAAAAAAATAATCTCGTCGAAAAGAACTTGTAAATGATAAATCCAGAACAATTGAAATTCATTTAAATCGACATTCCAAATCGAATTTATATTCCTTATCAAATCTAGAAATAATTCATCAATTAAATTGTCGATATAATCAAATAGATGATAGTTTATCAAATCAAACAGGAGCATCATTATCTCCATCAATAGGTGATGCACTAATTGCTAATCCTGAACAATCTTATAATTATATTAGATTTAATACATACAACAAAAGCTCATCTTGATAATATGGATATTATTCAACATTGATCATCATTTTATTGTGATCAAGATAATAGTTCTATTCTATCGATCTTATTAAATAATATATCGATTAATAAAAAACCAATTAAATCAAATTATTTAGATTTTGAAAATACAGAAAAATATCTTGAAGAAAATCAATGTGATTGTTATCGTCAATATATTGAAAATGAAAAATTAACTATTAATGAAGAACAAGATGATGAAAATAAACTAAAAAGAAAGTCGAAAATGTCAATATATATGAATAAATATATATGGTCTTATTGAAACAAATTTCAAAAATCTATATCAAATTTTGTTGCAGGAAAATATTTTGTCGTATTGTATTATCAGCTATTATTATAAATACATTATCAATGGATATTGAATATCATGAACAACCTCAATCATTAACAAATGCATTAGAATATTGCAATTTAGTATTTACATCATTATTTGCTATTGAAATGATTTTAAAAATAATTGCTGATGGATATCTTCAATATATTCAAAATGCTTATAATTTATTTGATAGTGCTATTGTTATCATGATTCTTATTGAATTACAAGGAAATAAAAATAGTGAATTATCGGTTTTACGTACATTTAGATTATTACGTGTACTTAAAATTATCATATTTATGTCAACACTTAGACAATTGGTAATCAACCTTTTCTTTTCTTTTTTGTTCTTCTCTTTTATTTTATTTTTTTCATTCGAATTACTTATCTATTCATTGATAACTATCTTTAGTAGAAATGTCATATTCAACTAATCGATTCTATTTTATTTTTGTTTTAACTCTTATCACATGCAACAGGTAACTAATTTGAGTATACTTATTTCTATTTTGATGATAGTTTATTGAATAACTATATTCAATAATTTTGAAAGAATTTTCTAAATGTTTAGAAGTGCATAAAAGACAGAAAATGATTCTTTCAGAAAGAATTTTCATATATAAATTTATGTTAATCTCAACTTTAGAAAAAGTTTC